TCTATTGGCTCCTTGATGGCCGCCTAATGGGGTGTCATGATATTCTCTGATAATACTTAGCTTTTGCTCCTTACTGATTTCGTCATAGTTTGAACTATCATTGATATAAATATTTGTATTTAGATTTTTAAAAGTGTATCTAAGCATTGCGCGAATTTTATCTTGTTTTAAGTGTAATTTAGGGCAAATTTTAAGAAATGTTAGTTTGTTTATTTGGTTGGAAATCGCGACATTTCGGAGAAATTCAATTTGGTTCCAAATAGTTTCATAATTTACATTATCGTTAGCAGTTTCACTGACTATAAAACAATATAAATTCTGGTTATTATGGCTCAATAAGATATGATCTCCTATTGTTAAGTTAGGTTTAGATTTTAGGATTTCGCAAATTTTAAATTGGTTTTCCAGTGATCTCAATGTTGTTTTTTGAAGATCAGTCAATAGTTTTGGTACAAAACAGAATAAAGTATGGTCCCGGGGCACTGACGAAACTGGAATGTTTTTATCAATGACTTTGTCGTTGATAATTATGCTTGTTTGGCAATGTTCTAAAAATTGATCGTATGAGCTAGTTGGGTTATCATTAGTGAGAAAAAGTCGACTTAAACCGTCTGCATTTGTATTAGTTTTACCTGATTTATAAATGACTTTGTATGAGTAATTTTCCAGTTTAAGTCGCAAATGAGTAAGTCTTGTGCCTGGATCTTTTATATTAAATACGTAAACTAAAGGTTTGTGATCTGTAACTATCGTAAATAGATTTCCTAAAAGATATGGACGAAAATATGTAACTCCCCACGTGATAGCTAAAAGTTCTCTTTCCGTTGTAGAGTAATTTTTTTCTGCAGAATTTAAGGTTCGGGATGCAAATGCGATAGGTAAATCATTACCAATTTTGCCTTGTGATAGTACAGCGCCAATTGCAGAACCACTGGAATCTGTTGTTAGAATAAATGGCTGTGTGAAGTCCGGAAATTGTAAAATTGGTGGAGAAGTTATTTTTGTTTTTAATTCTTGGAATGCGGATTGGCAATCTTGTGTCCAGTTGAAAGGGACATTTTGTTTTAACAAATTATAAAGTGGCAAGGCGACTTTTGCAAAATTAGGGATAAACTTACGATAATAGCCAGCTAAGCCTAAGAAAGCTCGAACTTGTTTAACGTTTTTTGGTATTATGCAGTTAATTACGGCTTTAACATTGTCTGGATTAGGTTTAATACCAGATTCTGTTATGAGATGTCCTAAATATGTGACTTCTTTACGCAAAAAATGACATTTACTGGGCTGTAATTTTAAATTGTGTGCGCGGAGTTTAGCAAAAATTTCATATAATTTTTCGTCATGTTCTTTTAAAGTGGATGCATAAATGACTAAATCATCGATATAGATAAAACATCTAATTCCTTGAAGTCCAGCAAGTACAGAGTTCATAAGTCGTTGACAAGTTAAGGGTGCTCCTTTAAGACCAAAGGGCATACGTTTAAAGTGATAATGTCCAAATGGCGTACTAAAGGCTGTTTTTTCACGATCATTTGGGTCCATTAATATTTGGTGAAAACTACTGGCAAGATCGAGAACTGTGAAATACTTTGATCTGCCTAATTGATCCAAAATGTCTGTTATATTAGGTAAGGGGTATACCATATCTTTAGTGATATTATTGAGAGCTCGATAATCGACTACTACTCGATACTGTTTTTCGTGAGTATCTGATTTTTTTGGAACTACCAAAAGTGGCGCATTGTAGGGGCTGTTGCTTTCTTCGATAATTCCTTCTTTTAACATTTTTGCCGTATGTTCGCGAATAATTTGTCTTTGAGTATAGGGAAGGCGATACGGTTTGATGTTAGGGATGGCTGCTTCGGAATTTGTGGGAATAGTATACATTACGGTGTTCGTATGGGTCAATTTATCATTTTCTAACAAAAACAGGTCAGAGTATTCATCGCAAATTTTTGAAATTGACGCTAGCTCTTCACCATTGAGATGTTCTAAATCCAATTTTGAAAGAATGATGTTGTGTCTGTCAACACTGCTAACTGCGTTTAAAGTATCTTGCAAATTACTGTTAGTATTTACGTATAAAATATTATCTGAACTGATTGACATGAGATGAATTGTTGGTTGTTCCATGATTACATCTTTGTCGGACATATTTAAAATAGACACTAAACATTTATAATTGTTTGATGTAGTAATGCAGGAACTAATCAATACATTGTCTTGTAAGTTAGTATTTTCATACATGCCGTCACCAAATTGAAGATTGTTTTTTACTATTGTGAAAACTTCCGAATTTTTTGGTAGAATGACTAAATTAGTATTAGAAGGATGCATTTCCCATTCTAATTGATCAATTGATAAGATGTTTGACGTAAAATTAATTAGTGTTTTATTTATTTTAATAAAATCGTTACCCAAAATACCATCATTTTTAATTGGAAAAGTATCGGGAATGATATGAAACTCATGTTTTATTACAGTGTCGTTTTTTTCTATGAACAAAATGCATGTTCCCATAGTAAAAACTGAGTTATTGCTAATACCTCTAAGTTCTTTGATATTGTAGCTCTCTACGTGACAACTAGATGGAATTTTACTACGTTTTATTAGTGAAATTTCTGCACCTGTATCTACAATAAGGTTCGCAAAAATAATGATGTCACTAATTTTATTGTGAATGTTAGACGGAAAATTAAACTTAAATGTAACTATATTTAGGTTACTTTCTACAGTGCTTAAAAGTACAAAATTGTTTTTATTATTGTTATTAATTAAATTATTATTATTTATCAAGTTACTTTGATTTTTACTACCTATTATTTTATAATAATTTCTAATGTTAAAATTATTTATTCTAAATCTATTTTTCTTTTTAGGAATATAACTTTTAACTAAGTTTACTACATCTACTGATAAGATTAGAGACATAATATCTAAAAGAAATGTTAAAACTAATAAAATTAATATATTTGTGTTATTGTGAGATATTCTAGTTTCTTTTATCACGGACATTAAATTATCTTTAACGATTAGTTTGGTTTGCATATTTGTATTCGTAATTGGTTTAAAATTGTTTAGTGAGTTATCTAAATTATTTGTTTGGTGAATAGGGTTTAAGTTGAACTTATTTCTGTCTATAATTATTTGTGGGCTATAATTACTATTGAAATTATCCAAAGGGTTGTGTACAATATCTATTATAATATTGTCTTTGCTACTATCGACATGATCTGAAGTTAAAGACATGCCGCTCATAGTAAATGTTTGTGAATTTGTTGATTTTAAATTTGATGAAGACGAGATTAAAGTTTGTTGTCCCATGTTTGGCGGCGTCGCATGAGACATTATTAGTTTTCCTGATTCTGATTATTATTAATTTGGGTTTCGGATGATGTTGGCGGTTGTGGAATATTGTCAGAAAAATTATGCCATTGATATGGGTATGGATATGGGAAATATAAATTCCCGGGCTGAGTTGAAGCATAAAAAACGTTTGAGTGATTGGTCGTATTATCAGTAGTACGGTTCCATGATCTAGGATTCGATCGAAAAGAGGAATTTGATGGCATAGGCTGGTTTTGATGGAATCGAGAATTTGACGAGATATTAGGTTGGTTTTGATAAGATCGAGAATTTGACGACATATTAGATTGATTTTGATGAAATCGAGAATTTGACGACATGGGTTGGTTTTGGTAAGATCGAGAATTTGACATGGGCTGATTTTCAGGGAATCGAGAATTAGTTGATCTAGGCTGATTTTGGTGGAACCTATTTGAATTATTTGACCTATTTGGATTATTTGAAAAATTGGTATGTTGCGAAAAAGGAAACGTGTTTGAAGAATTTGGCCCTTGATTATTAGTGGGTTGTGTATAGTTTTGTTTTCGGCAGAAATTTGTACGAGTTTCGTAATAATTGTAATGACATTCTTTTGTACTATGGTTGTTTTTGTTACATATGGCACAATGTTTAGGATTACGGCTATTAATATGTAATAGGGACGACTGAGATAATAATTTATTCGAGTTTAGGTTATTTTCAATTGTCTGTGCAAGTTCGATAGCTTTAGTTATTGTGGTAATGCTTGATTTCGTTAAGCAATCGCGAATTTCGTCAGAAACTAATCCACGACGGTAACATAGTAAAAGAAATTCTTCATTGCTAGCTCTTACTGCCACGATATCATCGGGTGCCAATGTAGAACCTGGGTTAATACATTCCTCGAAAATGTTATTTAAACGTTTGCCAAATTCGGAAACCGATTCATTTAATCTTTGATTCTCGTTCATGAGGCGCATATGCCAGTTGGTACTTTTAACGTTGCACTGCTCCGACAAAATCGTTTTAAGTTCTAACCAACTATTAATTATTTTATTTCGTACTGACTCTAAGGCTTTACCTGTAATTTTTGTGTTAACGAGTAATTTTAAAAATGTAGTCTGTAAGGTTGCGTCAACTAGTGCTGACATACCTTCAACTTGAAAAATAAATTGAGGAAGAGACGATTTATCACCATCAAAAGGTGGTATTAAATTAATATATGCTATGATATCTTTAATTTCTTTGGCCATTGTGAAGCGATGGTGATTTATATAAGTTTATTATTTAACACGGTATGGTACGAAAAGTAAGTAAAATCACAAAAACTACAAAATGCGTACGGAAATTCGGTACTCACCTCAGCATTTCTTCTACTGATGGTCACTTGTAAAACTTAGTAGCACCGCTGTCACCAAAATGTTGTGGGTTCTTTTATGGAAATAATATATCGGCAGCTTCACAATGTTTATTAATGTGAACGAAGACAGTACAGAATTGGTATCCTCTAAAAGATGATATGCGCTTATATATACTTGGATGGTTTGGTGATAATGAAAGATGACCAATGAGGGGTGGATGATAACAGGATGATTCTTAAAACTAATGGGTTTACATTACACATTTAAAGGTGAGTTTATTATTAGTGCATATATTTGGCTCATGTTTAACTTTTGTAAAGGTTGCCACTTTTGTCGCCCTTTGGATTGCCATTGCCAGTACCATCATGGTTGCCGTAGCACAGGATGATGACGATCCGAAGACAGACGACTGTACGTTTTCACAATTCTCAATTATTAAAAAATATATAAATAGGATTGAACACAGAAAACAAATATTTAAAATCAATTTTTCACAGAAAATGTGCCACACAGAGACACAGATGACCATTCAGCACACAGAAACCGGAACCGATTTGTTAAAAATGGCAATACCTACACCAATTTCTGCACTGCACTTGCAATAAAAAAGTTAAAAAATATATAGTTTTTCGTACTCTTAAATTTGCAAATTACCTAATGACATATTTTCATTATTTAATTTCAGAATAAATATTTTTTTTGTCGAAACTGATCTTTTTTATTACAGTATTAGTCAGACCAGAAGGTTCTAGTTTTTCAGGTGAATCTAAAAGTCCAAAATATAATTTACCGTTTTCATTTTAAATAACAAGAAAACATTGATTGCATTAGGACGAAATCGGCAATGACAAACTTGTTAGTTGCTGAAGAAAAAAAAAACAGTTACAATATTTGCAAACACCCGATTTCAATTTTTAACCTAATAAATAATTATAGAACTTAAAACGAGAGTTAACGGAGCTCGTGGTGCTTCGGTATATATTTAACCACTATATTTTAAACATTATAAAATGTTTTATTATTATTGCTACAAATACTTGAATACATCGTTTTTTATTAAAAACATGTTTTATTATGTCGAAGACGATATCGAATTTCACGTGTAAATATCAGTCTATTCTATCACTACAGGACGGCCCAAAATGGCTGCAGAAATGGGCTTTCCAAAAAACATACAGCAATCAGCAATATTCTCATAAAAGTCGCGTATCGTACAACCCACTTTTAATATTAAAAATACTAAAGAACTTATTTTAAAATACAATTAAAATAAATACGACAAAACAAAGCCCAGATTTGTCCCTACAGACAGCACAACGACCCCAAGGATCTTTTGAAAATAGCGGGTTTCACGCCCCACCCTAGTTTCCGTATCCCATATCGTTCATTGGTCTACCGCCCAAGCTTGTTTACTCCACACCAAAAAGTAGATCCACGCTAGCTAAATGCAAGCTCTTGATTGGTGGAGACCGGCAAAAGTGACGCTTTCTCCCGACAGAAATAACGATCGGCGAGTGTCGGCGGCGTATTCGAGCGTGTCGGCGTTGGCGTCATCATCCTCATTCTCTTCTGTTCTTGAGTTCAGTGGAGGTGGACGTGTTGTGTCTATTTGAACATTTTTGACTGAATTTGTATATAAACACTAGTAAATATGGCAAATAATCAAGATTGTCCCATGGAAAACGGTGAAGACTTCTCACAAGACGTAACCGGTGACCAAAATTTCAGCCAAAACCAAGGGGATCAAGTAAATGGGCAAAACGGCTCAGGAGACGCTCCCCCAGCAGATAGTGGTAGTGCAGACGCCCCAGGTCGAGATGATGATAGGTACGTACCTTTTTTTCGAAATTTGTTTACGGTAGTTGTCGTTAGTCCAGAGTTGGTAGTTCCTAGTTGATGCCGGCTATACGTCTTACTTAGTTTAACTGTGGTCATCCTGTAAATATAAGCGAATTTTCTCTTATAAATCTTGTTTTTTAGCAGTAAGTGAAAGCGTGTAACTTGTATTTTTCCATTTTTTCAACGTAAAGTTCCGATGTTCCGATTTGGCTTAAGGCGGCCTTGTAACACCCAAACCGAAGAAAATGGCGTCTGTGAAATTGGCGCGATTTTTGAATCTTCATCCTATTACGCATTACTGATTTGTTTATTTGAAAAGTCCTGTTTCTTTATTTTCAGCATAATTCACTCGGTCAGTGTTGTGTAAATTTTGTTTTTCAGTGGATTTAAAGTTTGGTCTCAAAAATTTTTCCGAAAAAATTGTTAACAAAAAAATTAATTCGGGACCGGTGTAGGATGCCAGGTTTAGCAAGCCAAGTTTACCCACTTAAACATGCTTCCTTTTCTCCAGGTGGCTTCGTCCGCTATATGGATGATGGGGCGAGAGGACTTGGATCGCTGGGACCCATGGTATTTATCCTTGGGCACATCTTCTGCCAGACACTTAGTAATTCAACGTTAATATTTAAGTTTGGGAATTTGAATCATGTCCCTATTAAATTTTTAATGTTTTTACAAAACTTTGCTATCATTTTTTTTCTCTGCCTAAATGTAAATTTCCAGATTACTTTTGAGATTGCAGATCCATTTGATTGAACTAGGAATAATTACTTGATTGCTGTTTACTATTCCATTTGTTGTATAATTAAAGTAGTAACTTTATTAATAAGCATTATTCCAAACATACTCAGTAATGCTTAGGATTGATCTCGGTCTGCACTCATACTAATGCAAGTTTTATTATTTACAGAAAATTGTTTGTTGGTGGACTGAGTTGGGAAACAACTGACAGTAAGTACTTTTTATTTATTTTTCTAATTATAATTTGAACGCGTTAAAACTTCAAAAAATATTTTTGCATAAGTCACAGAACTCTTCAAGGTCAAGGTTTGCAAGCTTGAGTTCATTGCAAGTTTAAGGTTATCAACATTTTACAGATATCGTCCGAATTATTTCGTTAAATCGGTAAAACTTCTAATTACAATACACACAAACGAGAAAAATTGCTAATCATTTAATTGGTAAATTACTGATAATTACTTATTAGTAAAGTGTTGTTCATTGTATGACTCATATCTACTTTCTCATTTGATTGTTTGATCACTGACTAAGCAGTAACCAGTTAAACTGTTTGTTGATTTTGTATATCTAAATTGACATTTCTTTGAAATATTTCTGGTGTTATTTTATTGTTGATTTTTCAAATTTAAACACAGTGGAAATTACCAAAAATTTTCACCAACTTTTACAAAAATTTGTTTGAATTAATCCCGCAAATTGATATATTAACAATGGAACATTTATTTAAATCAACATTTTAAATTTTTGGCTTTTTATTTATAATGGCATCAGTCCGTAAATTAAAGTTTGTTTAGCAGAACGGTGAAACTAAAGAATTAGCCTTTCAGATGTTAAGAGGATAAACTTGGGTGTTTTGCACTGTCTAATACGTAGTTAATTAATAATTAATGCGTTTTCATTGATCTTTTCACTGCACAAATTTTTGCTCACATCGGGTTGCTTTGGTAGCCAAAGGGTACAAGAAACACTTTAGACGGAACAGCTAGTACATTTTTGTTACTAAAATTTCATTTCTATAATATGTACAACTATTTGGAGCATCACAAGTTTCAACACTTTGCCACGTCAGATTCATAAATCAATAGAATGTATAAACTATTAAGGATAAATTTAGAATTTGAATAAGTAAAAGCGTTCGCTGAAATATTTTAAAATTGATTTCAAAAGTTGAAATGTATTTCCGTGCGATTTTTTTTTACACAAGTATATCTTTAAAAAGGAAAATTTGATTTGGTGTTCCTGTCGTGTAGGTGGTTGTTTAAAAAATATTTAAACTTCGTAATTAACAAAAATGTAATAATCGGGAGTTAAATGGTTATCTTCATTAATTTTTTAATATTCCCGCAAAGTCTACATTTGATCAACTTAGCAACTCTGTAATTATAATCTACAACGGAAGTAGTTTCGTTCTGATAACGAAATAGCACTCGGAACTGAATTTTATTTAATTCATTCGTGAAACCACTAACGGTGTTTAAATTTTCAATGATGATTCAAAGTCAGTTCTGCTACTGAGAGTATTTGAAGACAATGGTCTACCCTGAAAATTCAGTAATTCTGACTAAAGTCGACCGTTAGTAGATGGTTATTTCACATTTATTATCGTATTTCAGAGGAACTACGTGATCATTTCGGACAATACGGTGAGATCGAAAGTATAAATGTAAAAACGGACCCGAATACTGGAAGATCAAGAGGATTTGCTTTTATCGTCTTCAACAACGCGGAAGCCATTGACAAGGTTGTCGCTGCCGGTGAACACGTTATCAACAACAAAAAAGTCGATCCCAAAAAGGCGAAAGCGCGACATGGAAAAATATTCGTTGGTGGACTTACCAATGAACTTTCTGATGATGACATCAAGAATTATTTTGGCCAATACGGCACTGTAAGTTCACGAGGTCGTATATACCGTTCAAAAATAAGCATTTGGTTTGTTACAGATCATCGAAGTTGAGATGCCTTTTGACAAAACTAAAAATCAAAGGAAAGGATTCTGTTTTATTACATTTGAGTCAGAGCAGGTGGTTAACGAATTACTGAAGACCCCTAAACAGACCATCAAAGATAAAGAGGTAAAGTTTCAAAAACTATCGTTAATTTATTCCTTAAATTTTTACACATTGTTCGGTGTCTGAAGAGTTGGGATTTGCAGTAACAATTTTTTATTTTGTCAGGTTGATGTTAAGAAAGCCACTCCTAAACCCGACGCCATGGGCGGGATGCGCGGCGGCAGAATGATGAGCAGCCGAGGCGGAACCAGAGGCCGAGGGCGAGGTGGATATGGAGGCCAGAACTGGAATCAAGGCTATGGAGCGTACGGCGGATACGGCCAAGGATATGGGGGCGGTTACGATGGATACGGGGGTGGGTATGACTATTACGGCGGCGGTTATGGAGGCTATGGTGGCTACGATTACTCCAATTATGGCAACTATGGTAAATACTCCAGGCATTAGTTAGTTTTTAGTTGGTTAAAAAAGTGCCTTTTTGCACTAATGCTACATACCAATACATGTTTATATAATATATAGTAGATGGAGCTGTGATATTCACAGAGGTCTACGGAATATTCTATAATATATTTACCGATATCAACAACTGTTTTGTTCCTATACTTTATTGCATGTTGACCTTTTATGGAAATACATTGTGAAATACCTGAAGCTTGAATAAAGCATTTGTTGAAACAAATTTCATAATGTGCTTTCCATTTGACCTGTTATACCTACACAAAATTGAGGCTGCAACACACAAAATTTACTAATGATGTAGTGAAGAACAAATTTTTGGTAGTACTTAGAGTAGAAAGCAGTTACTGATTTTTTCTTTGTTTACGTGAATGCAGACTATGGATATGGTAACTATGACGGAGGATATGGTGGTGGTCGCAGTGGTGCGCGCGGAAAAGGTACATACTGAATAATGTTATATTGTTACTGTGATGTTCTATTCTTTCATTAGATTCTTAGTGACTCTTGTTTGTTTTTATTTTACCTGTAGTCGTAACCTGCGTTTACTCGAAAAATCAGTAAAACTGTCTAGTTTGTTTTCACTGCGTCACGTACTAATAAAAATGTATTAGTAAATGACCATTGTAGGGTTGCAGCGTCATAATAAAAATTGTGATTTTTATGTATGTTTAACAAAAAAAAAAAGTATAAATAAGACTTTCGAAGAACAATACTGGCAAACAACGCAGGTGGCGAGAATATTTTGAGTTTTATTAGTGAGTAGGATTTACCATAATTAAATTTTTATACTGCTCGTTCTTTTCAGGTGGCTCGGGTTATCAGGGAGGTAAACAGCGTGGTGGTGGCGGTGGCGGCCGAAACCAAAGGCATCAACCTTACTAATTATATTTGTAAAAAAAGTCTTATTAGGTATGTGAGTCTGACTGAAAAGCCGTTTGATTGTCTGTCACCTTTTACAATGTTTCTCATTTTTTTCTTTTTTACATGAATTTATTGCAATCATTCCATCGCGGTTTTGGAAAAATGAAGATGTACAAAGGTTTTTTTCTGCATGAATAACATTTTTATTTTGTTTAACAAAAATCGTAAAAATTGTCATCACATCAAAACAATAAGCAGAGATATACCTTCCTGTATTAATTATGTTTTTATTTAGTAGTAATGTAATTGTAGAATAAGTTTATGTAATTGTGTAGAGGGCATTATGTACTTCCTCTACTGTATGACAATTTAATAATAAATACTTTGTGTAAATAATTTTTATCATTCAGGAAAATTGTCTTTACATGTATAATATGCCCTGATTAATTTATATTTAAGATATGAAATTTAGTTTTACGCCTCCGTATTACGGTTTATAAATGCAGAAATAAAAACATTTATACGAAAAAATATTTTTCAATAAAAACCCGAAAAATCCCCCTGATGGTCAATTGAAGGATAACACCTAATTAAAAGAAGTGATGTCTGCCATGTTAGTTGAAAAAATCGTAAGTATTACAGCACATTTATTACATTTGATCATTTTGAAAGAGCAGTTTTTTAATTTAACAAAATGTGTACATGTTTCATCTTTGGATGACGTTTATAGTTTCTACGAAGATGATAAACAGTTCGTCTAAATAAAAATTCTTGTTTTGAAGAACCTGCTTTTACTGAATTTTATTTCCGACAAAAAAAATCGACAATGTTTTTCTGATTTGAGTTTTGTAAGATGAAAATGCTGGTGATAACCGGATTCGTATATTCTCATAAATAATTGAAATACTGATTTTTAAAGATAAGGGATAACAAATTCAATCACAATTTTAAAAAGAAAGTTGTAAATTGTTTAAACAGACTCACTCTAATAAACAATTGAGTTTTTTGTGAATAAATCACTTCTAGCTCACCAAAGCAGTTTTTTTTTTATCTTAATAACCTTTTATTGTTCACTAATAAATTTACTTGAATTTATGGGATTTCTATGATTTTAAAGCCAACTTAAAAGATGAGCTTGCAAAAAAATACTAATCTTTTTTAAAATAAAATATACAAAAATTTTACAACGTTAATCTTGATCCCAACATTTCTAAAAATAACTAGAATGTTTAAATTAATCTCAAAAATTAGTGTCTGGATACCTGCGATACAAAATGATTTTTACATGTAAAATCAGTACACCTTATCAGTATGAAAATTTGTCAGTGAAATGAATTTTAACTAAAAAAAAAAAATACCACTGACAACCTTTTTAAAACTAAAATTTAAAATAATGTCTGTATTTTACTCAATTTAATCATCTTAAATTTTGTAAAAATTAACTAAAACCTAGTAAATTTTAATTGATTTTAAACATTCGCAAAAATAAGCAGTAATAAGGCCCGTTGCGCACAACTACTTTCATGTTTGCTCGACGTTTCATTACCCCGAGAGTATGAAAAACTAGGTACTCCGTTTCCGTCTGTTTGTCTTTCCTGTTACCGATTGTTGTCAAATTTTAAATGCATATAACATACTCATATTTGTGGTTTATGAATCTATCTTGATTTTTAATGACAATCTACAAATAATGTTTGTGCAAAAGCTTGAAACTGAGCAACTTGAACTCGGTGCTTGTAGGTTCGAGTTCCATCCTCGTGGACTTTTTTTCCCAAAGACTTTGAATTTGACTTCCCGCGTATAAGTTAAGCAAGTATGTATTGTAATAAGCTCCATCCGACGTATGGCTAGTTCCATGTTTTTACGACATTTCACGATCTCGAGAGTATATTATATTATTTAAATTTTATAAAATAACATACTCTTGCACTGTGGTTTGTGAATCCGTGCTAATTTTTTACCCGTAACATTCAAATTTCTGGAAAAAAATCAAAAGTGTATAACAACATTTAGCAATTTAATTTTAAAGCCGAATGCCGTCCAAAATATTTATCCTCTCCAAAAAAATTGATGACATCATCTCAATTTTGCCGAATTTTAAGGTAACTAGATAAGCCGATGATGAGATTTCGATAAAATAAATAATCAAGGACATTTCTTTATCGCAAGGTCTCGAATTAAACTTGAGATTTCCATATGTGAAATGTAAAATCGTTACGCTTCAATGATTTTAAGAATATGAAGTGGTTGGGCTCATTAATGTGGGTGTCAAAATTAATTTGCAACTTAATTATGAGGCACGAAGAGTTATGTTAGGATTTACCTAAGCAGAAAGCCAATTCTTGATGTTGAAAATTCTGTTCGTAAGGAAAATTGACATGGAATAAATCGAACAGATTCTTTTGTAGTAGGAAAGTACGTATATTGTAACAGGGTCCCTCAGCGAACGGCTAGTTTAAAGTTTACTAGTTGTTTAATGAAAAAATAGGTCTTCCGTTTCAGTCTGTCTGTAGTCTGGGCGCGATTCAATTGGACAGATAATTTCCGAAACTATTGCTCTGATTGTTGTAACAGTTACATGTATTTTATAAATTATAATGTAGGTAATAAAACGCTAACCAAAATTTGTCTAGTCATCCCCTCTAACAATTTCATGACATCATTTCTAAATTTTGGATAAGAAATGTTATTAAGTGTTTAGGGAAGTGACACTGAGCTGTATTGGTGGTTGGCGATCCGAACCTTGTCAGTGACCCATCCAAGTCTTCAGTTATTTATTGCTTAAACAAAATTGGAAACTTTTCAATTGTGCTTTAACTACAAATATTCTATCGAAATAACTTTTAGAGCAAATTAATAAATACTAATTTAGAAATTGATTAGTTTGCTCACTGAAATTGTGTGAAAAATGATAGGTATCTGAAAGTATGACCGATCTATTGATAACAAAATTCTGACAAAAACGTTCAGTAGGTGAGATGTTTTTCGCACAACCTGCAGTTTAAGAACACATTTTGAAAGAATTTAGATAATCTGGTGACTTTGTCATCGATAAACACAGAAATATTCTATCTGAAATCATCGATCGATTTAGATCGAGAAAAATCAGACATGCAAGATACAAATACACCTTTTGCAAGATGTTATTTCGTTTTGATCCCTCTACAGGTAGTAGTTTGGGAGTACAAAACTTATTTTCTATGGCATGCCTATTCTTAAAATAGGTAGGTACAAAAAATATAAGAAGTCAGAGTTTAACAAAAAGTCTTTAAAGTTTCAAGGATTATAATTATTAGTTATACATTTTGTTATATTTACTACAATTTTTGTCAGTCAGTCTTAGAGAATGCTCAATATCACGCTATACAATCGTACTGTCGTGGCCAGGAAATTCGGTATAAATGAGTTCATAGATTTTTTTACGAGACAATTAATATAATTGTGTATCTAAAACACGGTGTCTAAAATTTCAATGAAAACAGATAACGCTGTTATGTCATCAAAAAAACATTCCTAAATAAGATTGAGATCTCCAAGTAAGCCAAAACGGAAGTATTGGACATTGATTTTAATATGCCGATCAGAAATACGGGCCACAACAAGAAAACAGATAGAAAGCATCAAAATGAGACGTAAGAAAAACAGAAGGAAAAACCAGAGTAGACAGAATATTAGACTTACCATCTTTGAAGAAATTTTGGGAACCATTTTTTTTTTCAAAGATTTGAATAAGATGTTTTTACTTTATACCTATAGGTATTGCAGATGACACCTTTCAATAACGTAAAGGAAAAAAGTAAATTCAGGTACGTATATTTATATTTCTATGTTCCCTTTGCCTCATTCACAAAAATTTAATAATGACTAAACCGTTCCATTATGTAGTTATATGTTATACATTGACTCGTTAATAGTTATAAATAATGTTTCCTAATTGAAACAACGTCTAAGTATTATTATTATTATTTATTCTAAAATACCGTCTCCGAAAACGAATTGAGCATCGGTTCCCTCCAATTTTTTGACAGTCAAACCTCCCGCCTAATCAATAAACCATGGATTTCCGTTTCCGCATGCGCATTTCGTCCATGTTCTTTGGGTCCTAGATTATAATAATAGCCTTGAGTGGCGCTGTCAGCCAAGTGGTCGAACCTAAAACTAGTTGCCAATTTATGAAGTTTACACCCGTGCTTTGCGGCGTTTGTGCAATTCAATTACATTTTCATCGTGTTAATAATTGAATTTAACCGAAAATACTTCCTTACATCGCTTCGCAGACTCCTTAGAGGTAAGCATAAATAAGACAGCTCAATTTTGCATACTGTGATTTATTATTACATACCGGGTTTTCCTGGATTCGACATGGACAATGATCCATTTTCGAGGCCTGCAGAATTTGCGGTTATTCAACACAATGCTGAATATTTGCGGGCTCGTTTTCGCTTTTATCCAGATTCTAACACTACGATTGCTCAAAGCGTATCTTCAAAGCGATTTACAAGTACTGACCATAAGAATATTTTGTTATCTACACTCCATGTGTGCATAATTATGGAATCCCTTTGTCTGCTAAAATTTTTCGCATTGAATAAATAGTGTTGGGAGTGATTAATCACATTGTGTTGAATTTATTTGATGAGAGAGTTTTCACAAACGTGTTACATTCGAATTTTGCAGGATATTTTCTGCTGGTGCACGTTTTTTCAAGTTGTAAATAACTCTTCAGGAATGGTAATGGAGGCCCCCCCATCTCCCCAAAGTGTAGGAAGGGAATTTGTTCGACAGTACTACACTTTGCTGAACAAAGCCCCAGCTCATCTCCATCGGTAAGTCTACACAATTTTCAGTTTTCATGCCATGTGCAACCATTGATGTCCCACAACTCCCAAGGTCTAGTACATGCGCTTCTGCATCCCCAGTGTTTGTAAATGCACAGGCCAACACATGAAAATACATTATTGAGTTATGTAAACCCCCTAAGCGAAACGAAGGAGCTGATGTAACACCGTATTTATTTTTAAGTGTTTTAAAGTAATTGCTACTATTAATGTTGATAATGGTAAGATTCGCAAATGAGTAATAGATTCATAATTTCTGATCACCTGTTTGTTTTACGGAAATAATGTTTATTGAATGTTTACTTTGCACTGCTTGGCAACAGTTTCTTAAGGCTTAAACAATTCGTAATAAACTGAGAACGCATTGTACTAACTATATTTTAATCAGAATGTCCTATCATCTAAATATGTGATTACATGAAGTACATTGAGAGCATACCCTCTCTCTTGTCATATAGATTTCAGATCTGAGAACTTTGCTTTAGTAGTATATAGCAAATTAATCATTGTGATTACTCGATTGCCATTGACTTTGAAATTGCGCCGCACAGGTTGCACTTTTATTGTAACGCAATTTTTTGTTTAGCGTGGTTTTAAAAGGCTATAAATCTGTAGACAATATTTCTAGATATAAATAATGCAAAATATTGGCCATTCATTATAGTTTAATAAGATTATTGGTATTTTTTATAAAAATCGTTTAGTGACAAAAATGAAACGCAGTAGTTATTTAAGTGACTTCTGATTTATGTTTTTGTGGTAAGAAATGTTATCTGTGCCCCTAAATATTGGAGTGTTTATTGTTTTATTCACACGACGTAGTTACCATTTGAACTTTTTTCATTAATATTTTTGCACCACGGGAGCTTGGTACATTCTACCAGTACCAAAATAAATAAATTTGTTAAATTTAAGCAAGCGGTGAAAGTGCTCTCAGAGGTTTGAATCTGGTTTTGCAAATTAGAAGTTGTATAAAATGAGGTGTTCGTTTTTCTGTAAAGTAGGTGATGTGACCATTTGACTTGGTCGCCATCTTGCTCTAATTTTATATGACATGTCGTAAAATAGCGTCACCAATAATGATTTAATAGCATTATTAAAGTAACTGAAATTGGGATTATGTAATAGGAGCACTCGAGATTGTTATCTTTGGATATAAAATATATGGGTTTTTTGATTTTATTACATATTTTTGTTTATCGAATTTTGACATTAAAATATAAAAGGGTACATTTTAATTTTGTGGATTTATTCACTGTTTATTCAAATTGTTGAAATTAATAATAATTGTTAATGAGTTATGTGACCCACAGACGAGATTTGTTTTATAATTATCTCAGCTGCATAAAACTGATTTTGTTCGACTTGCTATTACACACTGTCTTTTTTTATCAAATAGTGGTAAACCGATTATGTAACAGTTAGTTTTGCGTGCTTGAACAAGTTGTTTCTGAACATCTATTTTGTTGAATTGTGATTAGTCATAACAAAGTATTTAATGTAAACACATTGAACTTGCATAAATAATTGGCGTTTATCAGAAAATTAAAACCATTAAGAAGCAAAAATTTACAAACTCATTGTTTTATTATTAGTCATAGTTTATCAAACGTTCCGATTGTTTGGTGTATCATTGAATGAAAGTTTAATGATAAGGTGATGCGAAATGACGTAAAAATTTATCTCTACACAAGGTAGTAGCGGCGCCTTGAAGTTCCGTTTGTGGAAAACTCGATCCTAATTTTTTTAGTCGTTTAAACACTGCCATTAAATCTAAGCACACGAGACTTTTCGACATTCCGAAGATAAGTAGTTTTTAATTTTTACAAACTATTTTCTTGTAAAAACTTGTCCCAAGATTTGTAAAAAAATAAAAATAATGAACACATTTGTGCTCTACAATTCTTCAGTAATATTTTCACGCTACTTTTTTGTTGATTTATTTTTGAACTACGGTTTAGAGGATGATGATGCACTTGTAATTTAAATGAAACGCAACTTTGTTTTCAAAGTGTAGTCTATTTGACGTATATTCAAGTAATAACTGGAAATAATGAACGTCGTTTATTTTCATGCATAATTTTGGTACTTTTTGGCAATGTTTCGTCGTGACGTGATCTCTTGTCTATTTCGTTGTGCGTACTACACCATACTATGGTTAGAATGCAAATATTACTGATATCATTCTTGCGTTGCTCAACATACTTTGAATTTTTCATACTTTCGTAATATTTTAGTGACGTTATTTATTTTGTTTGCTGCATTCATGTAATGAATCCGCTGTCAACGTAGTTTAATGAATATCAGCAGCAGTTACTGTCTATTATTGTCTTTGAGTGGGTCAACTCCGGTAAGTAAGCTATTAAAAGAAGGGTCTTAGTGCAAAATTCGTTTTATGTGCAGTCAACAATTTTCAGTCATTTAGTATTACAAAACTTCATTGATTAGAGTAAAACGCTAGAACTCAATCGGATCATAAGTTATTGTTGTTCGAACTTGGCAATTTATCGGACAGATGAAATTGAATTTTTTTAGATGTTTTTCTGCTGGAAGATTTATCACACTAAGAAAAAATAAAAAATTGCAACGACGGTTCTTATTGACATAATAAAAATAATTTTATGTGAATTTGAAATTGCGATTTCCTTTGTAGTCATCGCTTCGTTATCCAATTACAATTCCACGTGGAGAATTTTTTATGTCGATTTATATGCGAGAGTAAATAAAGGATTTTTCGTCAGCCAGTAAATACCTTGTAGCCTTGAGGAAGATGCTCGTGCATACAGAACTAATGCAGTGCAGTCTTTTCACAGATTGTGTAATGGTTTTCGTAGTGTTGTTAAATAACGTATTGTAATCGTTTACTGGAAAATGACTGTTGAGTTTATGTATAAATATGGGTGTTATCGATATTTCATACGTGACTCAGAATCGAAGAAAAAGAAATAGAAAGTTATTAATATGAAGTTGCCAAACAACAAAGATTGTAAAGATTGCAAATGTGAATCACACGTTAAAATAAAAAATAATAATAATAGATGCAGTGTCTTCTGTGTCATTGACAATTAAAATTTCGTAATTGATTTTTACACCTTTCCCGCCTATTCTTTTACTTAAAAAGAGAAGGTATTAATTCTTTTTTATGACCCCTAGAAAAAATAGGCGTTAAAAGTTTGAATTAATCACATTGAAATGAAATTGAAAAATTCAAACAGATCTTTTTTTTATTATTCAAAGGAAATTTTGGTAGTTGGATGAGGCAACAAACTGAGAATTAACAGTGTAAACACCGTTATTCTGTTAATTATTTTTAAAACGCTTTTGAACTTGTTGAATTATATATATTTTAAGGTTAGGGTTTGTAAATTAATTTAACCATTGGGATTTAAAGGTGCGTTTTTTAAAATAGATGTTGAACATTGTGCTGGAAAGTTTTGTGAATGTACATTATATCAAATGAACGTGTACTATTTGGTACAAAAAGAGGACCTATAATAATGAGAAGTATGGGAAATTACTTATCCATAAAGACACTACCAAACTATATAAAGTCACTGATTGTGTTTACGTGTTAATAGAAAAGTACTTTAAAGCGTATGTAATATTGTTATTCTATTTAGAAAATAACTGTTTATTTTAAAATAAAAGAAAAATGCTGAGGTTAGTCGATCTAATGAAATTTTTAAATTTTACATGAACGTGTAATGTACTCGAATGTTTAAATTTATTATTTTGTTTTATTGCTTTTCCATCATGAATGTATCGATTTGTTTGTTTTTACATCGTTGGAAGAGTAAAAATAACTGGCATTTATAATAATTATTATTGTTGAAAATGTTATGCCATCGAAGGAAAAAAAGAAATTAGAGTTGGCTATTCTATGAGAACTCTGATTATTTACTCTGCTTTAGACACATCGTGCATTGTTTATTTTTACTTCCAGAGCATAATTCTGGTATTAAATTTGATGTTTCTCCGACATTTTCCAGCTTATATGATACGAACATGGAAATCTATTTCCATCTGTTGATTGGTGTTTTTAGACATAGAGACATAAGGGGCAAGTTTTAATTTGGAAACACATTGACCGCATGTTAAGATTTTTTAGAACAGAATTGCCAAATAAAAGCAAAACAGTCAAATTGCAGACAAAATATTTTTTTGACAAACTGCTTTAATAAATTGCATTTTTGTTATCATTTGTCAAGACACAACTGAAAACTAGAAACATTATATTAATACAATTCCAAAGGTTATACATTGTTAAAAGACAACAATAACCGTGAACTTGACCTTGAACTTAATGAAATTTCAGATGTAAATAGAGATAGTCGGACAAGTGAATGCTTTTTTGCACGAGATACATTGTAGCAGTATGTAAGGTTTATAAAATTTTAAAACTATAAGTTATATTACAAGATTTGAACAAGTTTACCATAAAATTGATTTTTTTCTAATTTGGAAAATCGAGAATAATGGTAATATTCAGTTGAAACTAAAGTGACAACAGTTTTACTAGATAATTTTTTCCAATGACTCACTCGACATTTTGATTGTAATAACTAATTATTTTTTACATAGCTTTAAGAAACCGGAATCAAGTTTCTAAGATAATCGATAAAATAAATTGGTTCGTGCTAGAAAGTAGAACTTGGAAAATAAAAATGCTTTTACAATAACGAATGACACATCTCCGAATATCATCAACAAAGTAATTTTAGCCATTGTTAGTAGTCTCTAACTCGGTGTTCGTATCCTTATTAAAATCCGTAATGTAATCGTTTGATTGTCGTAATATTTGACATGTTTTTGGACTGAATAAACGTTTTGAGAAATCGGTACGGATGGAAATGGCATCTTTTGTAAACCTCCCAGATATTTGTTTTTCGAGTTTTAATGTAAATCCTTATCCTCCGTAAACAATGAATAAAACAAAATCAAAATTATATAACAAAATTTTTCAATTTAACTTTGTAACTGTAAGACCGAATGCACTGAAATGTTGCAAACATTTTAAGGTTATTGTAGCGCATTATAAATTATAAGTTTATAATATGTCCAATTTACCGTATCTTTTTTTCACATATTTTTCAAAAACACCATGTATAGAATATTGATGTTGCAAAATTTAAATTTTAGTGGTAATTTTCGGAGTAATTCATTGACGTCTTAGAAACTGAATTATATTTAAAAAAAAACGCAAATGCTATTACAGAAATTTTGGTGAGAATAGATTCCCTTTCTTAATTGTTCAATATATTAATAGAAACTACTAAACACTCAACTTAAATTTCTACCGTGCAAGATGTATTTATTGTAACTGTTCTCACAATAAAACTAAATTATGGATTCAAGTTTTCTAAAGCAGTCAATATGTAAAATGTTTTTAAAATTAATGGTTTAGCATAACATCATTTTATTCTATGTTTTTACATTGAAGGCTACTACAATTCTAATGATGTGTTAAGTATTAAATAGGTTTTTTTCATATACATACATAATTACTATATTTAAAAACCTTGCCTGCACCAAATTCGGAAAAATTCACGAATTCGATTAACAAGTTATAACTCTACAAACTTTACAATTTTTCATAAATCCTCAACTTGTTTCAACTAATTTTCTTTCGTCGTTACTATTACCTCTAGACATTCATTTTCGTCTCTTAATACTGCTCTATGCTAGGGGCTTAACTGAATGTGACTTTTACTTCATGAATGTTTTGATAACTGCATGGATGAATACTTCAAATTTTTAAGTCATGTTAAACGTTTATACTGGCTCTAAGCTAAGAAAGTATTGTAATGAAGGCGATTGGGCGACTGACTACTTTCACATTTTCTCGATGTGTCATGACCCCTGGAGTACAAAAACATCGGTCTCCGGTTGGTGTGTCTGTCTGTATGTCTGTTTGTCCATCCGTCTCTGTCTGTGTGTCTGTTTGTCTAACCAATCTTTGAGTAATCATCCCCACCAACCTCAGAATTGTACATAGTAAATAGGTTTTAAATTGTGTGAAAAAACATATTCCTACACTTGTGGTTAAAAAAAAAATATATGTAACATTTTGCAATTTAATTTTGAATCTGTGAAATCGAATTTTGAAAGCTTTTTATTCTATCGTAAGCGTGGTGAATTTTTATTAAAAATATATCTGTTTGTCCGCCCAAAAATTGATAGGTCATCTCAAAATTTTATCAGATAAAACCTATCGAAAATTGTGATCTATCATTACATTAATATTTTTTTTAAATTGTTTATAGAGGGTGACTAAAAAAATAATAAGTCAATTTATGTTATTGATTAAATCAGGAACGGCTTACTCCATTTTCCTAAAAATTTAGGAATACAATACTGTTATTATTAGTATTGCACTGCAGAGTGTTTAATACTGTTTAAGCCGTTGATTTCCATAAAACTAAAAGTTTTCTGAATATTGCTTAAAAAAAAATAGTGAGAGCGGCGCAATTTTCATTTACATACAGTTTTTTATTATGGCGTTTCATTAATTCAAAGCTTGGAAATTACTGTGTTCAACCTTTGTAGTTCAGATCTTTTCGTATAATATAAAGTTTTTACCGTCTTAATGGAAGTTCGCTGTGAAAAACCCAATATTTTTTTATTATGAATTTAATTTTATAGGTTTCATAATTATTAAATGAACCCTGTTATGTAGGTTCAATTACAATGAACTTAATTAGGGTAGATATTACCTGTCACACTAAATTAAATTTTTTCCATATTTTTATAACAAAGAGCCATTCATCTATATAAATAACAAATATTAAAAAGTACATACCTGAGTAATAATGAGATGAGAAAATAATAACCGGTCCAAACAAGCTGTCAAATAACAACTACATTTACGAAATTGGCGTGGTCACAGTCCCAGAAACTTACAATATATAGAAAAAGAGTTTGATGTTGAATAGCCACTAATAATACCGTTATTGATACTATTTTTCGGGTAACATTAAAATTATCATATTTTATAATTATTAATTTTCAAACGATAAATTGTGTAATATTTATTTCACTGAAATACTTTCACAATGCAAGCCAACCATTATTTCACATTCAGTAAAAAATATGAAATTTTGATGGAAATCTGCAACCGTATTATTTGTTTTTCTGTTTTCGGTATTGATAAATCTGATCTTGTAAGATATTGTGTTAACTAAACCTTAACATCTGAGATTATGTTTGATATTTGTCAGTTGAAGTGGCCATTAAAACTTGTAAATTCTTATACATTTCCATTGCTAGTCAGTGGAAATGCGTATGCTAATTTTTATATTTTCTCGTATACTTTTCAATTCTAATCACTCCATAGTTGTGTTTGCATTATACTGTTCATACAGTTACAGTTAATGAGCAGGCATATTTTAAAATAATTGGATGAAATACATATATACACAGCTTTGTAAAACCTGTTCCTGTTCTACGAGTATTACGCTTTTTTAATTAATTCAACTGCAAATAATGCAATCCAATTAACAGAACAAAAAATAGAAAATTTGGAAATGTCGTTTTTTATATTTAACACAGGACATAAATTTGTTAACATAATTATTAATTAAATTAACTTAGTATTTGGAAAGTAAAAACCAACTTGTAATTTGTAACTGCAACCGTATAATATGCGAAGATTAATTACCATTTTTTTTTTTTTTTTCTTTAATTGCGCCAAAGCATTGTTGATGACTATAGAACTTAAAAATTTCCATAATTCTATCGTATTTAAAATTTCAAAATTGTAGTAAAAGTGACGAAATTCTTTTCACCTTTAAAGGACAAACGAAGGGAAGTATAATATGTGATATGTTACACTGATATTCGCAAATGTGTGCTTTTTTTTACTACGAGTACATATTCTGAATTCCTAATCTGATTTAAAGCCGATATTGTTTTAAATTAATTTTGCACCGCCTCAGACTCTATTGTTTTTTTCTACTAGTCCGGTAGTTATAGGAATAATGCCAATTCGATCATCTTCATGCATAAAATGATGTTACGTTGATCGGTGAATAAAATCGGCGTGGGTTAAACTAAACATTTTATTTCCCGATAACTCAAATTTACACGACTGATTACACAGCGATTATGTACAAAATAATTCCGGCGCAACTTAGCTGGACTCTGTCTTCGCTCAACTCGATTCGTTAACTGAATAATAATCGTTCCCTTACCTACGGGAACGATTATTATGCAATTTCCATCCTTCTTGCCGTTCGCGACTTCCACTTCCAGGCTTTTCCTTTAGCGATCCGCCACTCGATCTCTGTCATCGACGATGAGTCATCATCGACGTACAGACCGGAAAGTTCTCGAGGGCCCATAGGCGTCGTACCGGGGCGGCATATGAGTTTATTTCGTAACCATACTAATCTTCCAAAAAAAATATTACGTCATGTAAGAAAATATTAAACAATTAAATAAATCTCTTAAAGGGGAAAGTTTTCCATAAATAGTTACAGATGTTAATATCTCGATTTCGCATTTATTATCGCTGTTCGCGTAACAGTGGACTGATAAAAAAGTTGTTGGCGAACGTTTATTGAGAAAACAAAAATGTGAAATCAACACGATTCAAATTATTATATGTGTGGAATTTTTACGGCTTGGTGCATTTGTAACAAAGTCGTAAAACGTAGTAATACCTCAGTTATGCAGTATTAAACCCACATCGATGAAAATTTACTTGCATGCTTGAATTTTATCCCTCTTCCAGCTTTTACAACCAAAACTCGTCTTTCGTTCATGGCGGCTTGGACCCACCTAATCGTGAAACCAGCCCCGTTATCGGCCAGAAGCAAATTCACCAGAAGATCCAGCAATTAAATTTCCATGATTGTCATGCCAAGATCACCCAGGTGGATTCCCAAGCCACCCTGGGGAAGGGCGTTGTGGTGCAAGTAACCGGCGAGCTCTCCAACGCAGGACAACCGATGAGACGTTTCACTCAGACTTTCGTTTTGGCCGCTCAAAGTCCCAAGAAGTACTACGTGCATAACGACATCTTTAGATACCAGGACGAAATCATTTCGGACGAGGAATGCGAACCGGAGAATCGATCCGAACCGGAAGATGACGCTTCTCAGGATTGCCATACTTTGGGAGACCATCAGCCAATCACCCCGGCTCCGATTCCTTACTACAACCCCAACACTACTCCGATGCAACCCAACATGCCGCCGGTACCACACCACCAACCACCGCATGTTATGCCTCCTCCAGCCGTTCCGACGGTCAACGGGGCTGTGCATCCGGACGACATCGCCGTGATACCAGGTATTTGATAAATATTTAAAATAATCAACTTTGTTGTGACTTACAAATTACAAATTAACGAAACTTGAATGAGATATTTTTTGTTCTATAATAATTATGAAAATTTAAAGGAACACTATTACAATTATTCAGCATAACTGATGTTTCACACGCTGAAGTTGGCGGCCCCATTTCTTCATTTTTGTTAATTTTGGAAAATGATACACTTTGGGTATAAATAAAGAACGGGTTTATATGCACAAAATTTCTTCGAATATGCACAATATGGTGAATATTCACAGTTGTATGTATAGATTCAATTTACCTGTAATGACCCGGCAAGAAGGAACAGTAAACTACAACAAAAACATGACAAATGTCTATAATTACATTTATTACCAATTACATATTTTTACACCTTACAATTAACAATCAGACGTTTTTCTAAATTTTCCATTGTAAAATTCTGTCTTTCATCTGCCAATAACATTTTGTATAAAGAAAAACTTCTTTCTACATCAACAGATGTAATTGGTGGGTACTTCAACGCACTAACAATATCCGGTCTTAATTTTACATTATTCTCTAATGATTCGCCATTTAAAATTAAACTGATGTTTTCTATGAGCTTGTAACTAGTATTTTTACTAACTACCTCTTTTACTTTTTTATTTATAGAATCGCCGATTTGTCCTGAAATATTCAAAATATTGGTTTGAAAATTTTTAATTAACTGCACCGACTCAAATACGGGCATACACTCAATCTCTAATTTTATAATCGTCGCCGAAACAAATTGATAATAATTGTTTGTAATAAATGCTAATTCGTCTACCAAGGGTGTTTTTTGAAAATTCTAAAATCTAATTATTTTTCGAAATGTGGAATATTTGGCAACTCTTCTTTATATATTTAGCCTCTCAAAAGTGACTTTACAGATATTTTTTAACATTACTTATTAAGGAATTTACAATTGGAAATTGTCTCATCATGTAACATGAATCAAATTAGGTTATAAAAGTTTAAGTTGTTGACCGGCCTTAATCATATATGCCGCTACTTCGGACAACATAACTAAAATTTCTGTCGGAACAACATCAGGAAGAATGAAATTCATGAAAGATTCATTAATAAATCGTAATGCAGTCGGATGTTTGGTTCTTTCTAATTGTCTGCAGGCAGTTAGATAAGATTTACTAGACCCTTTATCACTTAAATATCTTTCAGTAGATAGGCAATATAACGCCCGCAAGCATCAGAAGTTTCGTTCTCTGCAAAATATCTAAATTATTTTTTTACAATTTGTCTAATACTAGAAATAGCCTCATTGAAATTTTATAGGTATAGTAACACAGTTGATCAAATTGTTTGAAGTCTACTAACTATATACAAAACGAAACATCACTAACTTGTCTTTTTCATGCATATTTATTTCAATGTCACTTTTAATTATATCATACTTGCGCATCGTAAACCTCGTAAGCACGAACTTGATTTAGAATTTTTGGTTTCGCTGGAAATTATAACTAGGTTTTGATTATTAGATAGAACTGCCTTTTGTTTTATTGATTTTTAAAATGGGCATTGAAACGTGACCTGACCTGACCTGAATTGAACTGAACTGTACCTATTCATTGTTGGAAAACAATCTATAATTCAAAATACTAAAAGTTTTATTATGGATCTGGTCAGGTTGGCGTTTCGTTCAAAATTACGCAAACATGCAAAGTACGGCCTTTTTAAATGCATTTTGCATAGTAAATGAAATACTATTTAAATTTTATAAAGCAACAATCTTAAGAATCTACAAGAATATAACTTTTTTAAAATGTTGGCAAACTATTACCGTTGATTCATGATTGATTATAGAATGATTCAAATAAAAAAAATGTTTATATAAAAATTGTAAAGTTCCAATACATACTATTTTTCATAAATCACGTCCCAAGTATACAACCATTCAAAAGTTACAAAAGGAGAAGGGTGTCTTATTACTAATATACTTTATGTTTACAAATAAAATGAAACTTCGTACGTGTAGTACAATTTGAAGGAGAAGTAAAGTAACTATGTTTAAACCTATCCACCCCTTCTAAAATTTTTGACTTGATATATGTACATGAAAATAGACACCAATGATCAAAACCTGAAAGATAGGTCGTGATTATTCAACATGTTTATTTCATAGCATTTCCACGCTAGTAGATTTTACATGCTTCATTGGTCTCTATGGTGGTAAAAATATATAATCTGGTGCACCTAATAACATAAAATTTGTTCGTGCTTAAAATAGAAAATTTTCCAACTATCAGATTAGTTCTTGTTTACTTTCATTTTTCTTTTAAAATACATCGTATTATGCATACATTTGATTACATTAGTTTTGCATACTCATTGTCATTATGTAAATAATAATAATGCAGTAGGCGCAGCATTTAATTGTTCCATTTTGTCCCAATATACAACACTATAATGGTACGTTTTTGTTAGGTCCCGTTCCTCATGTCAATGCCGGTCAAGGCCAAGTCATGCCGGCACCAATAACCAACATCCAACCAGCAAACTTGGTCCAACCCCTGAATCCTACCGCTCCGATTGAAGAAACCCAACCCGCTGAAGCTCCAATTGAAGAACATCAAGAAGTTAGCTACAATGATTCGACTGAACAGGAACCAGAGCCCCAGGATATAAACACTGAACCCGGTAGGTTAACAAAATGTTGCGTGTAACTCGTTGTTAATCTACGTATTTTCAGTTGCATCAAATGAACCCAAAACGTATGCTAATTTGCTGAAGTCTGGAAATAACTTACCGTTCAATAGTCCACCGCTGGCAACTTCGGCACCAATACAACAACCAAGATCGGTGTCTCCAGTAAGTTGATTATATTTTACTGTACTGTAAAGGAAAAGACATGACTATGTATAACATGTTTTTTAAATTGTGTTGGATAAAAAAGTCTTATTAATAAAGTTAATTTCTGTGTAGCAGAACATGGGTCCTCGAGGAGATCAAGGAGGGTTAGGCAACCGCAATAACATGAATCGTGGTCCTCGAGTTAACCAACAGAGACTTCAGAAACAGGATTCGGGAAGGGGAGCGCCTGGACGAAATTCGTTCAATGAAGAAGGTAATTTACCATTTGTTTACGACAGAGTTAATTTTTCGAAATTATAAAATAAAACGCAAATGAAAACAATGTTTATTGATTTTTTTGTTGCAGATGATAGGAAGCGGCCTCAAGGCAACAACTTCGGTGATCAAAACCAGCTCTTTTTGGGAAATCTTCCTCACAACGCGACCGAAGATGAGCTTCGTGAGATCTTTTCGGAGTTTGGCGCCATTTTGGACTTGAGGGTGCATAGTAAACCCACCAACAAGACGGCAGTCCCTAGCGGACGCGCTCCTCCGAATTACGGCTTCATAACATACGAGTCTCAGACGGGCGTGCAGAATTGTCTTGCAGCAAAGGTAACTATTTGTACATGAAAAAACGAGAATGATACAGCTGCGGACCTGTCCACTAATGGGAAAGTGTCGCAGTATGAGGTCATTAGGTAAATGGTGTTCACATTTGTGCAAAATTTCGTTTGGGGTAATTGTTTAGTTTTGGTAACGAGCCAAGAGGTATTCCCATGGGCTCCTGAAAAAAACAACTAAGTTGTACACATTTAAGAGCCATAAACATAACAATAATTAAAGGTATCAAAATATTGTAAACGGTCATAGTAGGAAATTTATTTAAATGAAAACTAATCGTGTTTCATTGTAAGAAAAATCATCTAAAAAAATTTTAAACTGCAGTAAAAGAAAACAAAACAAATTAACGTAATTTTTTCAAATGTAAGACCATTTATTCTTCTCGCTGGGTTGATGACTGCGCTGTAATTAGTGAAGTACCTAAATTACCTAACAGTAAACTGACCTTTGTTGAATATTATATCCGAAAATTTTACTGAAACTTATTACTGGTAGGTTCCTTCTCAACCCAAAAATTTTAAATGCAGAAATTTGTTGCCAAAATACTTTATTCGAAATAATAATAATAATAAAAATAATACGTATATTTGCCCAACAGATACATATGTAACCCATTTAAAGGACAAAAGTGAATATAGAAATAAAATGAAACTAATTACTACTTCTAAACTTAATGATAGCAGATAATTTGCTCCTCAGAAAAATTATTTTAATGTTAAAAATATCAATTTCACTTCTTAAATAATAATAAAATAAAGATGGAATAATCCTGGCAGACACGGAGTATTGGGAAGACATTTAAAGTGTTACCACCATTAGTATTATTAATTTTAAAAAAATACATTAAATAATTACATAGTTACGTTTTTACTATAGTTCAGTATGGTCAAAACATATTAATATGTCGCCCTTTCTATACAAGTTATGCTAATTTATACAACATTATTAAGATGTTATATCATCGACCAAAAAGAAACGTTTATTTGTTTTACATTAAATGACAACTAAACTATAACATTAATAATTAGAAGTAGATACATGACATTAACTATTAGCAATTAGGTTATATGATGAATTTACTTTTTTCTGTCAAATTTGTTAGAGTTTAAATAGACGACTTAAAAAAAGGAATGAGTAGATTATAAATTATGAATTTCTAGGTCTTTTAAGAAAAGCCAAGTAAACCCTCATTCGAAAAATTTTCTTGTTTTTCAAAATACCCACAACTTTTGAAAATATTGGTTCCCTTTTTAAAAAAATACTTGATCTATTTTTTATTTACAACTAACATAAAAAATTTGGGGACTGCACATATACTGTTCAACCCTGTCGACTTTTTTTGTCGAAAATGAGATACAATAAAAATCAGTTTTTCGGAACGACCTGTTTTACTGTATCTCGTTTTCGAAAAAAAGTGGACAATGTTTTTGGTACGATTTATAGTGTTTTGTAAACAGAAAACAATAGTGAAAACCGCATTCCGAAATTTCCGCAATTTGAGACATTCTTTTTTAAAAATAAATGATTCACTTGGCGTCTTTGAAAAAACCTACTTCAAAACCGCTACATGATAATGGTAATAAAAAATCCGCAAAAATTAAATGTACAATTTCTAAAATGATCAAAAAATAAATTTGTTAATACATTAATGTTTTGAGAAATCATATATTTCAACTGAGTATGTTAAATGTTAATAAAATTTTCTCATATATGATAATACCTAAAGAGCGCAAAAAAAATCTTTCAAAATATGCGCATATATATGCACAAAATTATTTCAAAATACAATTTTTACTAAATGTATACAGTTTTATGCACATATGCAATTGACCTCCGACAACCCGAAAGAAAGAACAATAAACCACAAACTAAAAAGCATAAATACGCTATAACTACTTTTTTTTGCTATTACAATTAACAGTCAGATTCTTCTGTCAGTAATATTTTGTATGAAGAAAAACGAGTGTCTTGAAAATTCTAAATTTTTTTCGAAATGTTCCGCATAAAAATCAAACAATATTTGATAACTTTTCTTTATATATTTGCATTCTCAAAGGTGACTTTACAAATATTTTTTTAACATTATTTACTAAAGAATTTACAGTTGGAAATTGTTGTTCAATTTTCTCAGTAACTATTTAATCGTGCACCAAACATGTAACATGAATCAAATTAGGATATAAAAGTTTAAGTTGTTGGCCAGGCTTAACCATATATATGCGGCTGCATAGGACAACATAACAAAAATCTCAAGAAGAAAGAAATTCATGAAAGATTCATTAATAAATCTTAATACGGTCAGATGTTTGATTTTTTCTAATTGTCTGCAGACAATTAAATAAGATTTACCAGACTTTTTATTACTTAAATAACCCAACAGTAGATTGGCAATATAACGCCCGCAAACATCAGAAGTTTCGTCCTCTGCAAAATATATAAATTGGTTTTTTACAATTTCTCTAATACTAGAAATAGTCTCATTGTAAATATCTGGTACATATTTTTTTCTCAGTGTACTTTCGTCCAGAGTAACATTTTTACAATATTTTTCTAAAAACGCTTTAAAACGGAAGTTTTGCAACTCTTTAAGGGGAATGTCGGCACTAAGCATTGCATTACATAAGTCTGAATTAAATACTTGCTGTTCACATCAGTGAAAAAGTTCGAGAGAACCTTTTATCAATGAATTTATTAAAGTTGTTTCCACTTTGGACATTTTTCACAAAATTTATTATCTCTAATGTCTAGTTATTATTAATGAATTAGAAATATTTTGTCAAATTATTCTCCTTATGTTTACTTGCCAATATAAGGTACGAAATACTGTATGCTCAGTTGACATGAATCTACTTAAACTTTTATGACTCTTAAGTCTTAACAAAGCACCCTTATAAATCAAAGTGGCTAATGTAAACTACAACAAACAAATTTTCAGATACATTTACTTAAAAAACCTAAATAGATGTCCAGATGTTCTTAAATTTTCGCCAAACGGAAATCATAAATAAATCTTTATTATTATTAAAGAAGCGACCGGGCAGAGGCGTGGCCTGTTGTGCCCGCGCTAGCATCAAGTGATGGGGTGACAGTATTACTCTTTAGTTAGTACAATAAGTATCATATTTGGATTTAAATATTAAGGTAGACTCCGCTAATACAACTTCTTGGGGTAGTGCATTCCAATCATGAAAAACTCTGTTTGACAAAAATGTTTGCCTCACCGTGGTATGAAAGTTTTCCTTAAGTAATTTAAGGGGATGTCCTCTAGTGCGTTTCGAAAGATTAAGAGTAAATAATTGTTTAATTGGAGAATGAGCATTACTTAGAGCTTGATAAGTGATTATTAAATCCCCACGTTTGCGTCTGTCAGAAAGAGGGCAAAGTTTCATTACATTAAGCCTACCACAATACGAAGGTCGGTTTCTACCAAAAGGAATTCTGGTTGCCCTACGCTGTACCAGCTCCAAGCGTGCGATATCTCGTTTTAAAACAGGAACCCAGGCAGTGTTGGCAAATTCCAGTAACGGTCTCACGAATGTTTTAAAAAGTTTTCCAAATATGGATGGACTAGCTTTAGCAAAGACTTTACTTAACAGATAAAGCATCGAGTTAGCTCTCTTGGTGACACGCAAAATATGCTCACTCCAAGAAAAATCTTATTGGCCCCTAATGAACCATTTAGAGTATTTTTTCTTAAAAAGTTTGAAATGAGCTTTTATTATATCTTCAAGTAATTTTTGTACAAGATTATATTTTAATTAAGTAGTGTAAGTTTTCTTTTTCTTTTTTCTGGAATTGCCTGTATGGTGTAAACGTGATTTGGCAATTGATTTGATGCGTACAATGTAACACTAATGGTAACAGTACTTAGAATTTTAGGAAAAATAAATAAGCCATTTTTGAAATAAATCTGCTTGAGGGACATTAAAAAAGAAAAGTATATTACTAAAATACCGCCGACTTATACCATACCATATAATAAACATGAGTCAATTGTTACTTGATATGATGACATAAGCTTTCTCGAGGGTATAAATAAATTTAATAAACCAATTTTATTGTTTTGCTACGATGTCAAAGAAGTCCGCTATGTGGACTGTACTAATAGTCGGTTAATAATTTAGAAAAAAATCTAGAGATAACAAAATAGTAATTTACGCAACTAGTTCGGGATAGCCTGCTTCCCGCATGAACGCTTGTTTGCGGCACGACCGAAGGGAGTGCCGCATTTGCGTGAATGCGGGAAGCAGGCTCACGAACGTGTTGTGTACAATATTTTTTGCGACGAATAAACCTTTAAACTGAAGAGATTAACTGTGAGTTATTTATAAACAACGCCATTGACAGCGCCGTCAACACGTCACAATGTTGACACTACCCGAGTATTTTAAGGTTACCATGGCAACGGGAAGTTAAATGCACGTGTGCGGGAAATTCGACCTCCCGCACTCTGGTGAATGCGCGAAAGCTATCAAAAAAGGTCATGAGTGCAAAAAATGTTTTTCGTTACCATAATGAAATTCTATATAAACTGGAAAGAACATCATTTGGTTAGTAAACTTACATATTAATAATTTCCTTGTACATGATCGAAATGTCTTCAGTTGTTTTTGCAGAACACTTTTTTTTTGCAAGGAAAAGTATTGACAGTTGTTTTTTTTTGCAGCCGATATTTTATCCTAAGGATGACAAGAACGGTACTCAACTGAACGTGGAAGAGAAGAAGACGAAGGACCGTCAGTCGTACGGCAGCGGTCGCCCCAGCAGCAACGACAACCGCTCCCGAGACAACGGACCGAGGCGCAGCGGGCCGGGCCTGGGCGGGCCCAACAGGAACGTCACTGGGGGCAGTGGCGGCGGCTCGACCGGCATGGTGCCCAATCGGACTAACAACTACAACCGAGGCGGAGGACCTCCAAACCGCGGTCCCAACACGTACAACCGCCGCTAGCTTCACCACTCCTTTCACGTATTTCTTCAAACAAACTCATTTCGCGCGAACGAATAGTGTATGGGACGTGTACAGTGTTCGAGTCTGAGGAACGGAATAATTATGACGTTAGTGCCAATAGTGGTTCATTAGCTGCAGTGTATTTACATCAAACCATTTGTTTAGAGTTGTTGCTTGAACATTCGAATCGAATGCCCGCCAATCAACTAATAGTTCTCTTTTTCAAGTACTTATTGGCTGTGTTGTATAATGCGATTGGTCAAAAATTGGTATTGGTTGAATGTCGAGCAACACAAAGCGGTGTCTTTTGGGCATAGTGTAGTGTCTCATGACAAGTTTCATGGTTTGAACTTAAATATATTCAACAGCAGGTCACCACGGGTCATACGTTTTTCAAACTATTATTTTACATTCATAACCTAACAGCTGTATGCATGTTGATGTTAGTAGCTGCTAACTCGTAACTAAATTTTCTACTAGATTTGTTTTGTTTTATTCTTTTTTAATGCCAAATGTACATTACACCCCAAATGTACATAAATAAAAATAAATATAATAGCAAATAGTCTTTTTATGTGAATATTATGATATTAACAATAGTAGAAAATTTAGTGTATTAGCTTCTAAGGTCACCTATTCATATGGTTCTAAACATAATTTAAATTACCTTTAAGATTTTTCAATTGTATTTTCAGTTTTACATAGTACTTTAAGTATTTATCTTTTTTAAGTCTCATTTAGGTACTTCCCCCATATTTTATCAACAGTTGTGTATTCTTAACGCAAAATACACAACGCCGTTTATGTATACAATAGAGAACGTTTATTTTATTGCAGCTATGTTTGTCTTAAACATTTTGACATCGCGTTTTTGATTTTATCCAGTAGTATACATTTTTAACTAGTTTGTTTCTAGTTAGCTCTCCCCAATAACGGCCATTTTCATACTTTGTTACATCCCTAAACAAGATGTTAGTCCACGATAATTTCAAGTTACATGTAAATAAATAGAGGACCGAGGTCCAGTTTTATTTAAAGTAGAATGATGTGAAAGTGTTTTGTTAATTTTTATAAAAATGTCTTGGTGAAAAAGTGGAATGTTATTTACAGGCTTAGTTTCACTTTATTTCCCTCATTTTTTGTTAGCAGTATTTGTTCCTTTTTCCCTGTGATAATTGAATTTCTTCTCCAAAACTCACCGTCGCATTTTACCAAAGTTCTTCCTTCTCAAAACTAAGACTTGTGCAGGTTCCACTAGTCACAATAAAGTTTCAGGTTTTTTCAGTTTGTCGTTCCTGTAATATTGTCAAATTGTTATTAGTAAGATTAAAGGAAATTGTTACAGCAAAGCTTCGTTTCTTTCATGCTAGCTAGATGAGTGTGGTAAATTTAAAAAACGTGTTATTAAAACTGAATTTGGAAGAAATAGTTGAAACAGGGTAGGTAGAATATCATAGCGAATGCAAGTTAGAAAATACGTGTGGTAGAATTTGTGCAATTTTTAAATGGTAATGCAACCTTATGTACATAGATATTATAGGTATGTTGGCCTACAAACTTCCGGTTAATTCAAAATTTTGTTCACAACGCTCTGCAGACCGTGTAGGTTTAATATCTAATAAAAAAAATTTATCGTCCTAACTTTTACAATACTTTTTCAGAATATGTTTATTACAATACACTTATATCAATATATGCATATTCTATAATTGTAACTATAAACATCAATTTCCTAACTACCTACTTGTTTCCATGTTTCCGCCGATGCCTTTGTCTTTTCATTTCTCTGTGCCCATTTTCCGTAAGTCGTCTTCCATCATAGTATATGCTATTCCTTTACTGGTTTATTCTTAATCCAAATTTTCCTAATTCGTTATTCTTATGATATCGGATTGAATATTATCCTTCTATTTTTTTGCAACATGCAGGTTGTTTCTTTGTTATCTTCTACACTTTTATATAACGTGCCTTGTATAGATTTATTCAGTGGACGTTCTACGCCTAAAAACCTCAAAACGCAACCAACAATACAAACGTATTGTCTTGATAACTGTTTGGTTTTGATAATTTGGAAATAAGCTCAGTTGATAGCAAAATCAAATGAATTCCAAACAAGAGCTGGTCTGAATGTCTCCTATGCGGATAATGTTGTCTTTACAAGCGGCACTTTTTCTGCACTTACCACAAACCATGCACAGACCAAAAATGGTACGAAATATGAATTTACAATTGTATTTCTGGTTGCGTTTGGAAATTTTTAGGCGCAGAGTTTCTCTTAAATAATTTTCATTCCTAGCTGATTCGTTTCTTATTAGTCTTCTTAACTTCCCACGCTTCCCAGTTTCATAAATACTCTCCTTAACATTTCATGTGCCTATAATTTTTTTAATACTCTTCAGTTACTCTTTCGTTGTTTCTGTCTTTTTATTTATTAGTTTTTCTACATTCAGCATTTTCTTTTTTGTTTCTTCAAAACTTTAAAGACTTTTAATGGACATCCTGATCTGTCGCTCTTTTATTACTTATTGGAATCCTATCTTAATAAAATTTCTTCGTGTCTTCTCCTCATTTGCCTTTTTTCTTATTTTTTTTAATGCATTTCTCTTCTGCAGAGCGCATGGCATCATTGACACAGAATGGCCTACGAGTCACAAACAGTCCGCCTAACTAAATTGGAAAGGCAACCCAAAATACCTACTTTTTCGAAGGGATCGGAGATATTTGTGTTTAGTTTAGTTTTTTTAGGTATGAGATGGAAATTTTCTGTAAGAGTTGGGAACAGTTTACGCAATGTTTTCGATGCATTAAGTGGAGTGCCACAAGGATCTGTTTTAGAGCCCACTATGTTTCTTCTGTTTCTGTACAATGCCGATATTCCTAAATACATTGTTTCATCTTTCAGCCTGTGCAATTTATGCAGATGATATTACGTTTACCTAACAATGTTTATTCAGCTTTCTTTTTCCAAAAATCTGGATGTCTAGAATAAAAACTCAAGACGAATTCATAAATCACAAGTGCAGGAAAATCTTATTCTATGAAATTTAAATATCATTTACTGTTATAAAGTTTCAAGATGACAACATCCCAATGTTGGTGGGGATGATTAGATAAATTTTGGCTAGCGCTTACCATCAACACGATAGTCCTCACATATATAAAATTCGACGACAATCGATCCGGTAATTTCGGAGATTATCTGTGTAACAAAAATTGGCACACTTTCATGCAGACAAACGAACGGCAGATGGAAACACGAGACTTCCTTTTTCGTACACTAGGGGCCATGAAACGTCGAGAAATCTTGATAGTAGTGCACCCCAAAAGTACACAAATATCTATAGACCCAAAAAATTGAGCACACGAAAGCCTTATAAAAACAATTTTTTTGACACCCCAAAACGACTCTTTACTTCTGGATCAGGTAAAACCATAAAAATTTAAGAGCACTGTAATAACCCAAACCTCCCGCCTTTTTTTTTGACATTGAACAAAATTTGAAAAAGCCCGCTAAAATTTAAAATTTGACCTTGGCTGTGATCGTCTACAAAAGTGGGACCCTACATTGTGTTTTGAAAACTGGCGGGAGGCGTTCGTTCATACAAATTGGCGCACTGCGGAGCGGGAAGAGTGACGGATTTAAAAAACTTATATTTGGAAAAAAAAAAAAAACTATGAAAAATAAATCCAATAAGAGCTCAAGAGACCTTGGCCAAGGGCCCCAGAAGAGCTTAAAGAATTTATTCCTCAGAGAAAAAAAAACCTTTATTTTCACTCGAACCTGAGAACATAGAATAAATATTAGCAACCTTACAAGTACAACAAAAAAAAAGCAAAATAAAAAGTCGCGGAACTCTCAGAAAGTAAATGGATGGCAACGTTCCAGATATTATGGCAGTGTGGCCTCTACAAACAAAATGGGGGGCGCACAGCGGGGGCAGGGCGACGGCCACACTCCCCGTGAAGGTCCACATAGTCCTACCTCACCACTTCACGTGCGTGGTCTTACGCACCCACCTGACATAGGTTGACCTTCCTGTTTCCCGCGTCCAAGTAGCTGTGTAAACTCCGAGTCCGCTAGGGCCGGAAGTCTAGCAAGACCCGCAGACACTCGCACGGAGACGCCGACGCCACCGCGTCCACGCCACACGACCCCCGAGTTAACTAGCGTTATCAGAATGAGTATTTGGATTTCAGACAAGCAATAAGCGTAATTTAATTGGCCACACTCCATCAACACTTGTTTTAAATAACAAAGAAATTGAAATGAGATTAAATTATGCACGTGTGATCAACAATCTTATGCAATAAAGAAAATGAAGTGAGAAATTATTCATGTTTTTATCAATAACTTTAAAGAACAAGAATTTTTGAAAGAGATTAAATTATTCACATTTTGGCAATGATTTTAATGAAATATTTATCTGACATTAAACAACGAAGTTACGACTGCATTAAAATGATCTGGGCAAAGTTACGTTGTTGACCGAATTAAACAAACAAACCCCCCTCCCTTCAACACATCCCCAAACAAAAGACACATAAATAAAAACACATACGAAATAAACAGAACAACACATAAAAATGCGACACATAAAATATGCAAAATAAATAAAATATAGGTAATCGTGGGTGCACATTCGTTTTGAATTGTACCTTCCTTTCAATAACATTCATTTTCAAATTCATCAACAGTTTTCGGTCAACAACAAATCCCCAATGACTAATACAAAAATTCACAAAGGTTGCCCTTGAAATTCCCCGGTCAACACCCCGTACCTGCACCCTACCACTTTCTCTTTCTATTTTGAACGGCTGAATATTTGAAAAACTACATGAAATTTTCCAGCATTAGAGTTTACAACAACCGGATAATAAATCGAGGAAAAGCCATTCAAATATCTTAGATCTTATAATGTCAGCCAAATTGATGTGCCTAATTAATCCATGTTATTAACACAAAGGAAAAAAAATCCCCCGTCCCCCAGACTCTAATATTATTAATTTTCTAATGCCTTTCTCAGCGTTAATTTTAGTTAAAGATTCGCTTGTTCAGATCATGTTTGAATTTACTTTACTCACACGTGCTCAAATTATGCAACGCAAAATAATAACTCGAAAATCGCCATCCAACTTTCCGCATAACATTCGCTAAATAAAACTGCCCTAGCTAACGTAATTCCCTGAAAGGCCCTACTAAAACGGATTGAAATTATGTTGAAAAGATTAGTACGAAAATTATCGGCCATGGCGTCATCCGGAAGTGCCGCCATTTTTGGTAGCGTCCGTTCGCGTATGTGACGCCCGCGAAGCTCACAGGTGTGGTTCCCGCGTCTCACCTACTCCGTAATCATCGAGAAGCAACGCCGCTTCTTCCACCAGCACACACGGAATCACGTGGAAAACATACCTCTCGGATCTTCAAACCAAATACGTGCTCACCACCGAAATAACCTCTCTGTGTTCGAACGTAGCAGAGAATTCTTACGTTCGCTGGTTCGTCAGGGGGGTGGAACTCCGTTAGAAGAAACCAGCACTAGAACAGGAAACAAACAGCGCACAGACATTTGAAAAAAACACAGAGAGCACCAACCTGACGTCTTACTCGAAAGAAAGACCAAGTCGAACTGACCGCGACTCACCCCGCTCAAACACACCCTTCTGCGCATCTCTCTCTTAGTGGTTTTCGTTTCTTTCCATTTCCATCCCTTTTCTTACCAAAAGTTTGGCGCGCGGAAATTTGGTTCGAAACGGCTTACTACAGACGTCCCCCAGCGTCTTCGGAGTGGAGTGTCAGCGCAACGAGCGGAGACGCTTACTTAAATGGTAGGCCGTTGAGATTTGGATGCGTCCCCCCGTTTCTTGTGTACCTGTTGGTAGGAAGCGGCAGTGCCACTGGTGGCTAGCTGGTTACCACCTATTGGATGAGAAAAAAAAAACAAATAAGTACATATACAACAGAAAATACACTCTTCCGGGGCAGTGCATCGACATTGCATGCTGGTCACGCGGCACCAATTCTGTAATAACCCAAACCTCCCGCCTTTTTTTTTGACATTGAACAAAATTTGAAAAAGCCCGCTAAAATTTAAAATTTGACCTTGGCTGTGATCGTCTACAAAAGTGGGACCCTACATTGTGTTTTGAAAACTGGCGGGAGGCGTTCGTTCATACAAATTGGCGCACTGCGGAGCGGGAAGAGTGACGGATTTAAAAAACTTATATTTGGAAAAAAAAAAAAAACTATGAAAAATAAATCCAATAAGAGCTCAAGAGACCTTGGCCAAGGGCCCCAGAAGAGCTTAAAGAATTTATTCCTCAGAGAAAAAAAAACCTTTATTTTCACTCG